TGTACTTTACTTGGATCAGCACTCAGTCCCTGCTTTGAAATAACATGTCCAAGGTAAGACACTGATGTAAGTCCTAATTTCAGTTTGTCAAGGTTCAGTTTAATGTTCTTCTGCTTACATCGGTCCATCAACTCAATTAGCTTTCCATTATGGTCTCTAATCGCCTCTTCATCTGTGTCTCCACAACCGTAGACAAGTATATCATCGTGAATTGCTTTGGTTCCATTCAAACCCTCAAGTGCTTCATCCATCCTCCTCTGAAATTCTTCAGGTGCTGGTGCTATGCCAAAAGGCATCCTCAACCAACGGTAACGTCCCCAGGGTGTTCCAAATGTTGTTAGGAAACTACTGGTTTTGTCGAGCAGGACATGCCAAAATCCGTCCTTCGCGTCCACCACTGAGAAGATCCTGGCCTTTGTCAAATCTGGTAGGATGTCTTCTATTGTTGGAGTGGGGTAATGATTCCTCTGAAGTGCTACATTTAGGGGTTTCGGATCAATACAAAGTCTAATTGCCCCATTTGACTTCCTCGCTACAACCATGGATGATATCCAGTCAGTTGGAGTCGTTACTGGAGAGATAACTCCTAGATTCTGTAGCCGATCAAGTTCTTTCTTTAGATCCGACTTGAGCGATAGTGGCACTTTCCTGGTAGGTATCTTTGTTGGCTGCACAGTAGTGTCAATCCTGAGGTGTAACTCTCCTTCAAGTTTTCCAAGTCCATCAAATAATGTTGGATACTGTTGTTTCAAATGTTCTTTGGTAAGAGGCTCTGTAGTGTCACTACACTTTCCACCAATCTGTGCGACAAAGTTCTGCTCATTCACAGTGATAAGTTTCATCGATTGTATCGCCGATACTCCAAGAATAGGGTTAAGTTCTGTTCCTGACACTATCACAAATTCAATGCTGTACTTTTTTCTGTTTCTAGGATTGCGAACAGTCAGCCTTCTTTTCCCCAATGGCTTCGTCTCACTCTTGTTGTACATCACTAATGTCATATTAGTTTCTGTCAGGTTCTCGTGGTCATTACACAGCTTCTTGTACAATGTGTCAGGTAGAATATTCACACTAGATCCACAATCCAACTGAAAATGTACTGTTTGGTCATTGATAAGCATCTGGGCTGTAATCTTCTTTTTCTTGTTGACATTGTGTACTTCTTCGACAGTGAGAACATATTCACAATCACTGGATGATGAATAGTCATTCACATCATGTACCGATTTCTTTGAATGTGGCCTTCTGCCAGGTCGGAACTTTTTCTGCTGCTTAGTGTTCCCTTGTTTACACACACGAGCAAAGTGATTCTTGCGTCCGCATGAAGAACACTCTTTGCCATAAGCCGGACAATCTGCTTTATCCTTACGGTGTCGTAAACCACAGTACTCACAGCTTACTTCTTGTTTGTCTCTAGGACCCTTCTTCTGTTTATCAGACACTGGTTTAGTTTTCTTCACAAACTGCACTTCTTCTATCGCTCGAAGTTGTGAACTTGACTTCTCACTAGCTCTACAAATGTCAACACAACGTTGTAAGTCTAAACCTTTCTCCTGTAACAGTTTCTTTCTTGTGTGATTGTCCCTAATCCCGAGCACGATCCTATCTCGAATCATTTCTTCCTGTAAAGCACCGAATCTACAGGTTTTCACAAGTGTGCGTAATGAAGCAACATAACTGTCAATAGTTTCATTTAACTCTTGTTCTCTTTTGTTGAACGTGTATCGTTCGTATATTACATTCGTCTGACCTATGCAGAAGTCTTCTAGTACTTGTAGTACTTTGATGATATCTTTACGATCTTCATCATTGTTGAACTTGAGGCCATCGTAAACAGATAATGCCTCTGCACCTAAGCATGTTAATAAAGTTGCTACACGCAATTCATTATTCTTATCTTTCAGTCCGGTTGCAATTTCATAGTTCTCCCATACCCGTTTAAAATGGCGCCAATTCGTAGCCAAGTTTCCTCGAATGTCCAATTTCGCTGGAAACGGTATATTTGTCGGGACATACACTCTCTGCGGTGCCGCTGCAACACCATCTGCCTGATTTTCACCATCTCCGTTACTCATGCCGAATAGGAGGGATAGCATTCACCAAAATCAATGGTGCACGTGTACTTCTGACACCATGTAACGTTTATTCAGTAAACATCAACATACTATATTGAACATCGAACCCGATCATAATTAAGACATGGTAGATTTAGTTAACACTTATCGTTACACTCTTCATATTAACTGAACATTACCTGTACTTTAGAAACAACAATTTTTTACTCTATGCTTAGAGTACGCTTCTAAAAAGATATCTTTAACTGAAAATAGGCATGTGCGTACAGAGAGCATTGTTAATTCTACTGTCGAATAACTCCCTCCATTATAGAGTTCTGTATTAGTACACAATCCTTCAAACACCCAAGTGCATATCCCGTCCAAACTGTCGTGATAAATCACGAGTTGTAAATATTTGATCATTTTTTAGCCACAAAGACAGGGGCAAAAAACAAAACAAGAGCCTAAACATCTTTAAAGGATCAATTCCTGTCTAACTCTGAAATCTGGAAAGCTTTTTTGATCAATGCTTTTCAGCCATTGATGTCATTAACAGATCCCAAACGTGCATAGAGAATTGAAAGCTCATGATAGCATTTATAGTGTCGATCGCCACTCAGGAGCCGTATCAAGAAATCAACGTCCAAGCTTGTAGCAATCATACTTCAGAACAAAGTATTACCGCGGTGACCATATATTACTGACAATTTTCTGGGACAATTTCACACTGTCTAAGGTTGTCTCCCCTTTATTGCATTTCTTCTGACATATTATGATGCATGATTCCATTTTATGATAAAACATTTCAGTTCTTGCTATGGGAGGCTGGGATGTGAACTTATTCACAGCACTAATTTTAAAATTTTCATTTACTGTCTTGCTGATAATTTGCTTTCAAATTGGTAACTATTGAAACTTGCCTTGCAGGATGTTCATTCACTTGTATGTTTGCACAAGGGTACATTATTTTTGCAGTATTGAAGTAATTGCTGCGCTAATTAAATTAACTTTTAAGAATTCTAAACGCATGCATTATTTGACAATATTTACTTATACCTGGTATTGTAAATTAATGAAAACTTTCTTTATTAACGTTTCTATACTGTTAATTAATTAATATGCTAATGAAACATGGGTCCAAATAGGGAGAAATCCTAGTATTTAATTTCCGAGCTAACAGTTTGCAGATCTTGATTACAAATATTGATATAAATCTTTTGAATATATTATATTTCATTCTGCCAGATACGTTTACTATCAGAGGTGATGCTATTTCGTTTTTATCGACCCCGGTCATCTTTAAAACCCACACCATTGTGTCGCCATTTAACCTTCTGTCACCTTGTCATGTTACGTTCATGTCAAAGAGCAATGCCATTGTTTGGTTATTGTAATCAGCGTATAGAACAAACAAAATACCTAAATTTCTTATGCAGAAACTAAATGATGACAATACAAGAACATTTAGTTCCAATTTCAAACAATATTGATCGTACGTGTCACGAGATCAACTTCAAAACCTTCTCACGATTGTAATTTTCTATCAACAACTGATAATTTTTGCATAAAATGCTACTTTTTCAATATATATTGATATCTAATGTAAAATGCACGCTCGGCTGAAATCATCTATTGACAGCACAGTTGTGAATGAGTGTTCTAAAGAAAAGGGGGTGGGGGTGGTAGATACACTATATGGACTCGATTTCGTGTTCTTTAAATCAAAACAGGAGTATTTTTTGCTCTCAATAGCATGAACTTTGCACGTAATTGAAGTTTTCGATATACATATGATAATATATTATGCTTCTCACTTTGACTCAATTTGGGAGTAAAAAGGCATGAGTTTAAACATCGATAAATTCCGAAAAAAAGAACGTTTAGTCCTATATTTTTAACCCATAGTATAATAATAACGTGTTACTATTATAAAACGGGTTAAAAAATCATTTCCAAAACAAGAGCCTGTGTTCTTCTATGAAGAACGGAGCACTTAAGGAAATTAAGTCTCCATAAGGACATGAATGATCAACTTCTACATTACCTTCGATTAATTTTCCTCTGCTGGTAAATAAGGTGTGATTTTTAAAAAAATCTAACTGCTTTAAAATTGAGAAAAACCTATAGAAATGTTTAACTCACCTGGCTAAATAAGAAGAAACCCAGCACATGTACATCTAAGTATAATTAACGCTCATCACTTCGGTTTCCTAGGTTCATGAAATGGTATTCCTTTAAAAATTCGTTGTCCAAACCATAATTGCAAGTTGATAAAGGTATCAAAATCAAATATTTAATTTAAACACCAGCACGCAACGCTTATAAACAGAAAAGTATAAATACTGGATGCGCAGAGGAGAGGTTTAAATCTATGCATGAACGAATTCTTTGGAGATAATCTGACTTATATTGAATGTTTACTCCAAATATGTGAACTGAACATGTCAATAAGAGCAGCCAAATTCCAGCCTAACACCTTCCGTCATTCATACTTGTGTAAAATTGGCCTGCTAGCGAGCTCTCGGCGATGGGTTTTGTTAGGACTTTATCGTGTAATCTGGGATCAACATTGAAAACCCTCCGTTAAAAAGGGCTCGTGAATTCCACAAAACTGTCAGTCCTCTTAATCACTTTCTAATTGGATTTTGTGTTTTATTCTCACAAAAGTCTGGCGGCATTTAAAAGCATTGATTTTTGCGTCTACTGTTTTTCTTTTTTCTATTAGAAACTGTCCCAGACTCATTAGAGTCACAATTTTATCTTGGGCAATATTAACAGGACCGTCTGAAGCTTGCGTTAGATTCTTCTGACTTAATTGATGTACGGCTTTAACAAAATATATTATTCTTTAATTTAACTTTAGTAAATTCTGATTAAGAAAGTCTTAATTAATGAAACTTTTTTCTTTTATAGAGAAAAAATAGAAATTTAAAAAAAAACATGTACATGTGTACATAAACATTTATTAAGAATTAATTTACCAGCAAATTTAAATGTACAACAGAAAAATTCAATAAAAAACAGTAGTTCTCTTGTTCTCTCTACCTCACCAACTTTCACACATTTCCATCATCAACATCGGTGAAACCACTCAGTTATCAAGTATTTTGAATTATTTCCATTAGTTAATATATCACAGTCACTATGACATCCTGGACGGACTTCTGTTAGGGACGGCAGTGTTCTTTATCGTCGACCTGTTCCGGCTCGGCTTCCGGAACTCCTCACACTTCCCATGGAACTGGAACTACGTGAACTAGCAGGGGAGCGAACCGCTAAAAAAAAAAACAGAAATATCTATCAGATTCATATTCCTCATGCACTGCACGTATCATTGCACAGATGTGAAAATTTGATTTTTCTACCATGAAAAATACATCTAAATCATTTTAATACATACATGTACTTGATACTAGAAATTATATTTTGCCAGTGGAGTTTTTAATGCTAGGAGAATTCTTAAGAACTACTGTAGAAGATTTCTGAATTCATATCTACCTCCGAAGTCTGCTCCAATCTGTACAGGTGTGGGTCGTCCACTACCACTGGGAGATTTGATGCTGGAGCCACTGCGCACTGACCCTAGACTACTACGGGCACTTCCTGGCTGACGGCCACTGGGGGTCGGGGGAGGTAGGTTGGCCTAAACAAGCAAAACATCAGATATTATTTTTCTAACACTGAATCCAATTTCTGGCAGTATTTCCCCACATAACTTATACCAAATCACGATGCACTTCAATCAGCCATGCAATGGCTACAGATTAGATCTATAAAATATGTGATGAGTTTGGCCAAAAAATACAACCTGGGAGAAATACATGTTGACAGCTTCACTTATGTCAGGGTGCTTTTGTATGACATCTCCTATCTGTTGCATTGCCTGTCTGTTAAACTCTCGCAATTCACGGACATCAAAATCTTTCTGTTAAAAGAATTGAAATGAACATTCAAAACAAAACCAATAGTATAAAAATTTTGAAAATATAGAAATTTTTGCTATAAAAGAACTGTATTTTGCTGAATAAAATTAAAACAAACCTCTTCATTTGTCTCTCCTTTTGATTTCTTGGCTGATCTAAGTTCTCGGGCATACTTTGAATTCTAAAATGTATAGCAATAACAAAAATCATACATTGTCATATCCAAACAAAGAAGCCCTAATATACATGTACTCCATTTGAATTATCTCCCATTCTACATTGTACATGTACCTAAACAAGAAACATTTATTTACCTGCTTGGCAACTCTTTCCAGCTTAGATCTCTGGTCATCAAGCTCCTTGTTCAACTGCAACCTCTTATTCTGTAAATACAAATAGTACATAATAATTTCTGTCTAAATAACTACTGAACCATGAATACTTTGTCATCTATCTCATATTCACATAAGTTCTAGAAATATTTTCCTATAATAAGACGCCATGTATTGAGTGACTCCTGACCTCTTTTTCCTCGATCATTTCCTCATAGGCCTGTTCGTCCCTGTTGAGGTTGTCCAGCGTGTTACTCATTGTCTGTAGGTCCTCCTGTAGTTCGCGGATCTGACGTCTCTTGTATTTAAATTTATCCATTACGGCCCTCATCTGCTCCTCCAGCTGAGCTTTCTCCTCCATTTCATCACCTACAAAAATACATCACACATCTTTAACACAGTACATATACAAAAGTGCACATTTTTTGTGCTAAAAATTCCCAATCAATTTGCAAACATTACTATAACCTGTCTCAGTAAGATAGATTCTCAGTTAGAACCAATATGAATGCAGAAAGACAGATAAAACTTGTATTTTCCAGACACATTGACATTGTAGAATGGACTGCTTTTTTAAATAATTTTAACTCCTACGTAACAACTACTTACTGGACTCTGTGACTTTATTGAAGCTTTTTCTGTACGTCTCATTACGGTTGTTCATCAGTTTAAGGGTGTTTTCCAGGGCTCGGATTTCCTTCTCAGCCTTCCTGATCTTGGCGTCCAGATCATCTCCCTGTCTCTGTAGCTCCTCCTTCTCTTGGGCAGCCTAAATAGAGCACCCAGATCCATACAATATTCATATCAAAAGTATCAAGATCCAAATACATGTATATTACAATTTCAACAGCATCTGTAGGGACATATCCAGTCAATATCCTTGATCCCAACAATTATATTCATACAATTTCCTACTTATACAATATTTAGATTTCAGAAAAAAGATATACCAATTGGCTGCAAAATATATTAACAAATGCCCGTACCACTATTTTTGAAGAAAAAAATGAATGTATTAACAAGAGCTTAGTGGCAGATAATCTACACTAGAGACTAGCAGGTAAATACTTTACCTTGATGACATAATAGGCCTGAGATCTCTCCTCCTCTCCCTCTGGTGGTGCCATGGATACCATCAGGATTTCATACCTGGATAACACAAGCAACGAATGAGCATTTAACAAGTTATCTATGGTATATATCTGTACATCTCTTACATAAAAATCAAGTGCTTGTATAGATTAAAACTTTGATACTGCTCTCCAACTTCTGAATATTTCTTAATTATCTTATGTAACTTAAATAATCATGAGACAAACTAAGAGCTCATTTAATTTTTTATGAATCTTAAATGAAAATGAAGCACTGAAATAGATATGTATTTGAACATTTTGAAACGTGAACATTTGAAAACTAAAATTTATAGACAATAGTACACATACTAGTACATGAAATAATTTTGAAAAAGTCTAAAAACAATCACATTAAGTTTTACTAGACTAAGACAGAAATAAGTAAGCAGTTATTATAAATATATATTTATAAAAGAGAGACAGATCTACATCAAAAGACATGACATGCAGGTTCATACACAAGATGTAGAATGTTAATTATTAATACCAGGTATAAAGGAATTTAGACATGCAAGTCAAATTTTGAAAGTCCCATAGAGAGGAGTAACATTTCTACTACCATTCATAAAAGAGGACAGAGGAATGGGTGAGAAATATACAAGTTAAGTTGAGAAATGCTTAGTAAGAATTTGAAATTGCTCATATACACAATTCACTTAGATATTATAGCTTAGAGTGGGAATTTTGAATTCAAGAAGATTGACTAAAGGTTGAGTGAAGATTCAGAGAGATTGACACATGCAGCCATGCTAAGATTTAAGTCATTCTCTGACAAACCTCTTCCTTAATTTATCAATCTTAGCGATTCTTTCCTGCAGTTCTGCACTTATTTGTTGGCGTTCTGTGTTTGCAGAACGATGTTGAGCCTCTAGCATCTCTTTATGGATAAATATTTCTTGTCGTCTCTCTTTCATGGCCTGATAGAAATTATTATAAACAACTTTAATCTAAATATCACATAAAATGGCTGCCTAATGCTAGCTTTGGGCATTAAAAGGGGACCTTAAGCAGTTTTGACTCAACTTTTTCAAGAAACTTTTGTTCAAAGCCAAATGACATTCTTCAGCAAAAATTGATTATAAGAAAATAAATTTGTAGCACTCCTTTTAACTATCAAAGCTAGCGTTAAAACAGCCTTCTTCAAATGCAATAGAAAACAGACCTGCTTCTTAATTTTTCAATCTTTGAGATTCGTTCGTGTAATTCGGCACTGATCTGCTGCCTTTCGGCTGCAGCTGCTCGGAACTGAGCGTCCAACATCTCCTTGTGTATACCTATCTCCTGTCGCCTTTCTTTCATGGCCTTTAGAAACAAGCTCAATTACACACAACTCAGGTTCATAAAATTCTCAGCAAGTAATATGTCAACCAATCCATCAATTTTTTATTTAATTTGCTTGTACATACTATGATTTATTTTTTTTTTGAAAACAAACTTATATATTTATTATTAATGATTAATTTGATTTTAACTTATTAACATTGGCTTGACAAATGTTTACAGTGAAATGTACATCATTTTTTGTTGACAAAACTAAAGGGACATTACCGTCTCCAGCTGGAGCCTTCTCTTCTCCAGATTAAACACTTCATCTGCCTTGGAGTTCAGCATTTCTCTCAGTCTCTTGATTTCCAGCTTAAGGATATTCTGATCAACCATCATATCCTACAGAGAGAAAAAATACACTTTTTACATCAACCATTCAACCACAATTTTTTTAATGACATTATTTTTTGGTTCCACATTTTTGACTATTTCTCTGTCCACCTACCTGTTTGTTTCTGATGATCTTCCTCAGTTCCTTCTCTGAGCTGTCATTGTACAGATTTATCTCCTCTATTTTACTGGTCAGATCACACTTCTCAGCTCCTGACTTCTCCAAGTCTCTCTTCACACGGCGGATGTCATCCTGAAAAAAAATACAATAGAATTTCAACTGCTATGTTTCTTCTTCTGAATATGAGAGAACTCAATATTTCTCTATATATGTAATGAGGTCCGTGATTTTGTAAAATCTAAGATTTAATCACCCAAGACTAGTATAAAGACATTTGAATATATATCTTGCTTTTATTGAATAGTAAGGCTAAATAAATTTTAACTAGAAATAAACAAACCTGCAGTCTTTTGAGCTGCAGTGTCAGCAGTGTGTGCGTGTTATTTCTCTGTTCTAAATCGTCATTCAGGTCCTTAATTTTGGCCTCCAGGGCAACTTTTTCCTCGTTGCTTCTTTCTCCTTGCATTCTGTTGATTCTTCTCTCCAATTGTTGAACTGCAAAGTCCTGAAAAAAAACAAAATGTATGAGATTTTCAATTTAGGCACATACTAAAACATTTTTCTTTGGAAAAAAATTCACCTCCTATAGTTTCTTCGTTTACAACAAATATGTATGTGTACCTGGTTGTATATGATTTCCTGCTGTTTAAGGGCATCGGTGTCCACTTTGGATATTTTGCTGTTCAGATTACGAATAGCAGCTTGACTTCCCTGGAAATATATAAGAAGATTTATTACTGAAATGATGTTAATATTTATTTTTTGAAGAAAAAAATCACTGTAAAAACATGAAATTTGAAATAGGAAACTTTTTAAAACTAGTATGTTAAAACACAGTCTTGGTAACTACTCTTTCATCTGACCTGGATTTCAGCCTCTGTGTTCCTCTCTGTCACTTTACATTCGTGAAGTTCCTGAGTTTTACGGAACTGAAGATCCCTTAATGCTTTCAGTTTCTGATCATACTCCCTCTGAACTTTTTCTTCCTCCTCCAACATTTCATCCATGCGAGCCGCTCGCTCCTCTGCGCTCAGCGTGGATTCTGTTGCTATTTTTAACTTTTCTACTAATGTTTCTCTCAAATCTTTTGCCATCTGCAGTCTACAAAAAGTTTTACAGATTTTAGCTTATTCTGATTCATTTTTAAAGTCATGTCAATAAAGTGTATACATTATTTTCATGAATGACATAAACTTATCTCTAATTACTTGTTTGTTTTCTCTTGAACATCTTTTTTCAGCTGGGAGACCTGTGACCTTGTGACTTCAAGATCAGTGGCAGTGCGATCGACAGTACGCTTCAACGCATCCAACTGAAAATAATTTTTTTTTAAATTGTCAACTTGGAAAATAATTTAAGCATCAATTTTAAATCTAGAAGAAAATATACTTTTAAAAAATTCTTTCACAAGGACATGAAAAAATAAATTTTTATTTTAGTAAGATCGAAGCTTAATCGTATATTTCTTTAACCAAGCATGAGAACCACTTTTACCTCATCCTGGAACTGAACTCTCTGAGTCTCTGCCTCCTGGTAGTCAATTCTGAACTTTGCTGACAACCTCTCAGCCAAGGAAATCTTCTTTTCTTGTTCTTTATTGTTTTCTATTTCATTTTCTAAGAACTGCTGTTTTTCTTTTATACTTTCTTCTCTCTTTCTTACTTCTGCTTTTACTCTTGCCAATTTCTACAGAAATTCAAAAGTGACATTTTAAGATTGTAGATTTTTTTAACAATGTACATGTAACTATTTTTTTCCTAGCCAATATCCAAGGTCCAAACTAGCCGCAGATCCAAACCAAAAAAATATTGGAACTAATAACCTGGTTGTCCGACCAAGTTTTTTTTAGATCAGTGAGCTTTGATATGCGGCTAATCTCAAGCCAAAAATTTTACTTTTTTTTCAATTGCATCATAAAATGAAGAATATTTTTTGTGGAAAAAAGTACATGTATATTGGAAAAGTAGACACACTTTTCTTTCCTATCAATCTGTGACTTAAACTTAAAAAATTCGTTAGAAATTATGTTTTAGAAATCTACATGTATGTCACTTGAGCATATATTTATAATTCAAACAAAAATAAATTAAACAAACCGCTGCAAGGAGATCCATTTCTTTGTCACGGCGCTGCATTTGTTCAATAGTATGTTCCCACTGTTCAATCAGGTTTTGACGCTCTTGATGAGCTTTCCTGAAGTCCTCTGCAGTTTTGTCCAGTTCTATCTGAGCTGTTAGAGTTTCTGTTGTCTCATGCTCAAGGACATGCTTCTTCTGCTTGGATTCATCAGTCAGCCTCTCCATTCTTAGGGATAATTCCTAAATAATTCATCAAAACAAAAATCATTAATTAATGGCTTAAACTTGCATTAGAGACATTCATTACTTCTAAAAATTTTAATTTGTCTATATATATTTATGTAAAAACATCATTGAAAGCTACTAGATTTTCTCCACTTTTTATGATATTAATGAAGAAACAATAGAAGTAAATAAAATATTATATGATCAAAATTCAGACACTATTATGTTTGATATTACAGGCACATACCTTGATTTTGCTCTCATCTTGACGTGTGTATTTCTGAATGGTCATGGAATCCTCGTCTTTCCTGGCCGATTCCTCTAACCACGCCTCCAGAGCCTGTTGGTCCCAATTCATCTGGGATTTCATCTCCTCTAACTTCTGGGTTTGCTTGAAAATATTATTCTGGGAAGAGAAAGGTAAATCTGTTGTGACTTACATATATTGATAAGTACACAAATTCATGATTACTTATCTGAATAATAACCCTTTCCCTCCAAAAGAGGAAAAAAAACTCAAAGATGAAGTGAGCATTTCAAAATGAAAAAGTGCATGGCTATAATTTGCACATTAAGTTATAAATATTATTATGTAATTTTAATCATCTTTATCGAGTAGATAGTAATTTTTTAGCATTGCAATAAAGCATCATTAAAATACTGTACCTCAAATACATTCTTTTTCTCCTTTAATTCTTCAAGTTCTTTTTCCAGTTTCCTGACCTCCTGCTTCAAACGCCCTTCTTCTCTCTCAGCTATCATCAACATGTGGTTCTCTGTCTCAATTTCTTTTTTACGTGCACTGGTAAGGCCCTGATGTTTGTGAAAATAATGTCAAATAATTGAAAATGACAAGGGACTCCTTTCTTATAATAAAATTAAAGCGAGCGTCCCAAAGTGACACTCATCACTGCAAGTTCTTAAAGCAATGTCCAGGCAAAGATAAAATTCGGACTCTGCACATTCATTCATCAGAATTTTTTTCCTCAGTTTTTTTGACCCACAATGCATCACTTGTTAAAGCTATGTTCTCGTGAGAATAGCAGCAAAAGTTTAACTAAAAGTTAGCACATCCTGAGTTAATGGATAAATATTGAAGACAATTAAATAGTAAAGGAAACGTTTTTCATTTACTTTCAGCACTGTTCAGGTTTTTTTTTGGTAATGTAACTTGCATACGACGTCATATGATGTCAGAGTCTAGACGTGATGGTGCGGTTTGATGAACCCAATCTAAATTAAATATCTGTGCTTGCCATAATGGTCACACCGTCAACATATTATGAAATCAACTGTATGTACATCATTAACATGAAAAAGGTTTAAAAGATGGATGGTTGTAAAAAAGTAATATATGAGATGCTAACCTGTGTGTGTTGGAGTTCTTGTCGAACATTTTTGAGATGTTCATACATAGCATGTATACGGTCATCAAACTCTTCCAGTTCATTTGTAGCACCTACGACCTTCTTTTGCTTATCTTGTATCTACAATTCAAGGTAAAGTTGATTTTTTTTTTAAAGCACTTCATGAGTATGAGTCTTCTATCAAGCTAATTTTTGTCACTTTTAATAAATTCAAACTTCTTGACTTAAAATTTCAATGAAACATTTTTTAAAGAAATATGCAAAATGAAATGGGTGACTTTTGTTGAATTTTACAGACACTGTTTTATTTTTTGTTTATAAATAAATTACAATTAAGGTGGGTATCCATGCAGCATTACCTGATCTTCGAGCGCCTTGTTCTCGGCATTTGCCACAGGCATACTTAAACCTTCATCCCATTCTATTTCACTTAAAATGCTATTTGTCCCTCGACTCATTTTGGTGCTGCTATCAAGTTTATTCCTTCAAAAAGATACCATTAAAACTTGTCGCCCGAAGAATGTTGTGTATTGCTTTGGATACAAACTGCCCGGATGTAAATAAATAAATTACGTATTTCGATCCCGACTTTAATTCGACCAACAAACCGAAGTTAAAGACCCAATTTTTTTTACCGTACGGTTACCTGAGGAGGGGGAGTGGTCCAAGTAACAGTGCTGTTATTTACCTGGAGACCCCCAATACCCTAGATGTCAAAAATCTATATACACGTAGCATTACACAGGAATTCTGTGTCTGGTGATGTAACATTCCGTGTTTCATAAATAAAACTTAATTGAAATATTTCAATATAAAGTTTATTTATTTCTACTTTCAGCGATATTTAATAAAGAAAAAAAGTTATAAAGATATGGAATGCCATATACGACAGCCAACTGCGTACTGCCAACTGCTGACTGCTGACTGCTTACTGCTTACTGCTTACTGCCAACTGACAGCTGCTTACTGCCAACTGCCACACATATTTGAATAAATTTTATTTTTATATCGCTATTTATGTAAATTAAAAAAAAAAGGCGCGGATCTATAGGAACATTTTTTCCAAGAGGGTCACTCTGGTAAAAAAAAATCCAACCCAGAAATTTCTTGACAAGAAAAAAATACCTTTCCTAAATATGAAAATTTATTTCGGCCGGGGAGAGGGGTTTCTTATGCGTCATACCTTCACGTGTATGACATTTTTCTTACCAACTTAACACGAATCCACATTTTCGGTTGGGGAGTGGGGAGGGGGTTCCGATTTATTTAAATTATTTTATATATTAAATAACTTTTAGTTGGTTTAGTTTGTGCATTAAATAACTTTACAAATTTCAGAGGGGTGTTCCGGACCCCTCTCTCTAGATCTATGCATATAAAATATATTTCATTTGTACAAACAAAGAGATATAAATGTTTGATCGGCGTTTTCTAAGTGGAGGGTCCAAGGTCAGTTATACCGGTAGTTCGTCTAGTTTATTTAACGTTTGACCGTACAAATTTTAAATACCCCCCCCCAGATATATGCATGTAAAATATTACAGGGACGTAGCAACAGAGGGGCCAGGGGGGCCTGCCCCCCCCCCACTTTTTTTCCCAACATTACATTTACTTTTGATCGGCGTTTTCTAAGTGGAGGGTCCAAGGTCAGTTATACCGATAGTTCGTCTAGTTTATTTAACGTCTGACTGTACAAATTTTAAATACCCCCCCCTCCAGATATATGCATGTAAAATATTACAGGGACGTAGCAACAGAGGGGCCAGGGGGGCCTGCCCCCCCCCCACTTTTTTTCCCAACATTACTTTTAATATTGAAAATGTATTTTCTTACCATAGTATAATGATATCAAGGATATGTAGTATTGTGTGGAAAAAAATGTAAGTGAAAGGTAGTTGACCTTGAAAAAGTTAGCCACCTACCCCCCCCATCCCCCGAGTTTGGGCTATTTCCTTTTTTTTTTTTTTTTTGCTTGTCAAATTTGTAAAGTTATTTAATGCACAAACTAAACCAACTAAAAGTTATTTAATATATAAAATAATTTAATTAAATCAACTAAAAGGGACCTTGGAACCCCCTCCCCCCTCCCCAACCGAAAATGTGGATTCGTGTTAAGTTGGTAAGAAAAATGTCATACACATGAAGGTATGACGCATAAGAAACCCCTCTCCCCGGCCGAAATAAATTTTCATATTTAGGAAAGGTATTTTTTTCTTGTCAAGAAATTTCTGGGTTGGATTTTTTTTACCAGAGTGACCCTCTTGGAAAAAATGTTCCTATAGATCCGCGCCTTTTTTTTTAAATTTACATAAATAGCGATATAAAAATAAAATTTATTCAAATATGTGTGGCAGTTAGCAGTAAGCAGCTGACAGTTGGCAGAAAGCAGTCGGCAGTTGGCAGTAAGCAGTTGGCTGTCGTATATGGCATTCGACTTTTTAATTTTTTTTATAAAAAATTATTTATGAAAATAAAACACATTATTTGTAAATATTTTTTAAATCTGTGGTTAAAAACACCATAGAATTAGTCACAACTGGGGACAATATGTTTGTTAATCATATTTTAAAAAGAAATTGAAATGAAATTGAGAAATTTTAGAGAAATTAATTTTTTTAATATTTGGATCTAACCCGACCAAAATTAAATTGATCCCGATCTAAATTAACACAAAATGAATAAAATGCTAATTTATGGCCTCTTCATGTATTTACAATAAAGAAATCTATTTTATTGTCAGGTTCAATAATGCTTTAACATAAATTACGCCTAATCAGACTAGTGTTCTTGGGGAAATGTTATTTATTTCCATTAATTGTACAGTTATAGTTGGGATCGGTTTAATTTTGATCGGGATTGGTCAAAATTTAAAAAAAAATAATTTCTCTAAAATTTGGCCATTTCGTTTCAATTTCTTTTATAAGTATGATTAACGAACATGTTCTCCCCAGTTGTGACTGGTTTTAAGAAGATTTTAACCACAAGTTTAAAAATATTCACAAATTATGTGTTTTATTTTCATAAATATTTTTTTATCTAAAAATTTGTAACATCTATACAGCTTTACTTAACATATTTTATTAGGTATTCATGTGATGCATTCATTTACAGCAAAATTTTTACAAGAAAGCATCTAATTTGGTTGTAAATAATTTTTTTTAATTTTCTTTGAAAAAATACAAAAAAATTCATATAAAATAATGAAGAGCTAATGTCGGTCTTTCAGTGCTGAAACCATTGTTTAAAAAGGTTGACTCAGCGATCTATAAAATAAAAAGTTGGTGTGGCATTCCTCCTTATACCTAAGTTTGTCAATCGAATTAATCTATTTTGCTTTGAATCAATGCATTATCTTATTCAATTTTTTTTTTAATTGAAAATATTTTTTGAAATAGTCTGTAATTTCTCAAAGTAGGATTCATTCCATGATTTTTAGTTTTATCCAAAAAAAAAAAAAAAGACAGTGGGACGGACAACTTCGGAATGGACATTTTTCCAAACTTGGCAAGCAGATTGTACTTTTCTCACGTTTTGAGATTGGCGTTTGTGGTATTTTAATATCTCGCACAGGATCAATCTCTAGCACCCCCCCCCCCCCTTTATGGAATATCACACTTGAGACTAAATTCACTTCTTATTTTCTCATGGCAGTTGGATTTCTCCTAAATCGAATCGACAATCAATTCGTCATAAGTTCATATTAATGTGAACCTTTAATCTTATTTACATTTAGTTATTTCCATTAAATTTTTATAAAAGTCAACTTATTTTTAATTAAAATAAAAGTTATTTCGATGTACATGTATTTAAGAATCGCCAATAATTTTATATATATTAAATACATAGATTATTTCAATACATTAATAAATTTATTCAGAACCTTAAATTCATTTCAGGTATTATAATATTAAATTGCAAAATTAGCCATTCAATTCTATTCAAATTATATATTGCAAAACTTGATGCTCATCAGGCCCTGTAGTTTTTAAAATCATAAAATATATAATATTGATAGGTTTCAAATATATACATTATTTTGTAAGAAATTTAATAGAGTATATGTAACTCTTCAAGGGAGAAAGAGGGGAACCAAAACGAAAAGATAAGCAGAAGCATTTTTAAGTATGTCCCCTCGACCCCAATTGTGTAATACTGATAATGCATTTCGAATTTTTGCAAAATTTCAATTTTTAGCTATGATTGATCATGATTTACTTTTATTATACCCCCCTCTTGAAAAGTGGAAGGGTATACTGTAATCGGTATGTCCGTCCGTCTGTTACGCTTTGGGGTACCCATCTCTTATTCGCAACTCCTCTTAAACCACTGAGTGAAATTTAATGAAACTTTCACAGAATCTTTATAACATATTGCCATTGAGCACCTTTTATTTTATTTTTTGATCCGACACATATTTTGGGTTTTCCGGCCACAGCAAAACATGTACTTTTTCCATTATAATCATACGGGAGGCGGGGGGTATCATTAATGAGCTCATTTCTCACAGTACCTCTAGTTTCTATGGCAACGGCAGCTTCTTTCGATATTGAAACACCAGATACCGAATAGATTATATATAGTTAACATTATTATTAAAGTGGCGAAAAATATCCATTTATGAGGGCTGTTCAATAAATAATGTCCTCTGTGCTAGGAAAGCAACAAAAAACGCTTTTCAGGGATTTAGCCTTAATGATTATTCTTAAATATTCTTTTTGAATTGAAACGCATGTCCGTAACATTTTTATTCAATTTTTGATTGTTTTTAAAACACATTTTTGAGTACTGCCTTTTGCATACTGGAACATGGCAGATCCTATGATTTCCTTGACTTGTTTCTTCTTTTTGAAAGGTGATTTTTTTCAAGTTTGGAAAAATGAAACAAGTGAAAGGGTGAAAGATCTGGCGAATATTGTTGATTTGACAAAATATTAACTTTCTGTTTATCCCCAAAACTACTATACTCCTCATGGTCTGTAGGTTTGGACGCTGTTTTGACGAAATTTAATGTAGTGGTTTCCTGATTTTGGTTCCATCCTCTCATAAACCTTTCGATTTTTTTTTTGGCAAAACTTTATTTTCTAGACTTCTCCAGAAATTGAACTGCATCCCCGAATAAGAATTTGAACAACAAGACTACTAACATTTAAGAAAATGACATATGAAACTATTTTTGTGCTATGGAAATTCATTGCTTTCTTCAGACCTTGGCTGTTTTTGCCAAGTGCATCTTATTGTAAATTTGTTTCAAGGGTTTAAAGCAATGAAATCAAGTTTCACTATATCTGTTTGAAGTTCAGACAAACATGGATAACTTCAATTTTCGATTTTTAAAAATAATTGTTTAGATATTCTTATACGCTGTTGTTTTCACTAATTTCTCAAAAGATGGGGTGATCATTGACCACTAAGCTTTTTTTACTATCAAATGTTTCTTTAAAACAATGTAAACTACCCACAAAATGATGCCTATCAAGTTTGCTATGTGTCTTAAATTCAATCAAACATCATCAGTGATTATTTGTTGAATTTTCGCAAACAT